ATGCACTGGTCCTGCCTTGGTGGTGCCCTGTCTTTTACTCATTACTCATTACTGAGACCTCAAAATAAGGGTTGCAAACTTAATCAATTGATAAATCATCAGCTTTGCAGGATTTAGATCAAATAGGCACCAGCAACATCCAGAAAAGAAAAAGATGGATGGATGGTTGGATTTATAGATGGATGGATGGATGGATGGATGGATGGATGGATGGATGGATGGATGAACAGACGGATGTTTATCTCACTTAAATGAATGTGTCCAGAAGTTATAATAAAACTTAAAAAGAGAAAGTGTTTGAGATTAGTTTCTGTTTGGTTTTAATAAAACCGATTGCAAAAAACTTTAAAATAATTGTGCTTCGTTTTTTTACAGCTCTTCCAAATGCCATGAATTTAATTCACACATGACTAAATCAGCAGACTGACAACAGCATCCCCAGAGGCCCACCGTTAGCATCAATGCTAGCTGAAGTATGGCAGCTCAGATTGCCCGGTCTCACTCTAAGAAGAGCCCCGATAAGAAAAATCAACAACAAAATCAAAACGTTTGTTATCTGGATGCTCTTTCTCCTTTCACTTTAATCTGATGCTTGGGCCGATAGCAGCTCAGAAACATCCTCTCCACCTTCATCTCTCTTCAAGCGCTCCTCCACAGTACACAAGATTAAACTCAGAATCAAGCTGTTCAACCACAACAAACCTCCATCTGCATTTGTCTGCAAACTGCCACACTTTTCCGATACCACGCACATTTTTACCCCACTGAGCCATGATGATGCGCATAATAAATCTTTTTCAATTCCTAATAACATAATGTGTCCTGCAGCTGCTGTTTGTATTGAGCAATTCTCAAAGTTTATAGTCTGTTTTTGTGTTATTGTTGCCATTTTCTTGTTTCTTTTTTTTTTTTTTTTACTTTTAAGTGGCAGCTCTCAAATTTATTCCCTTCCCGGTTGTATCATATTACTGCAGCTACTGCAACGAGCCATTCTCAACATTAGAAATCAATAAGCTTTTATCTAATGGCTTTTGTTGGACGTTCTGGCTGTTTCACACTCAGCGGGAACATGCAGCGTGCGGACGGTAATTCCACRTTGTTCGGGAACTCAAACACAGCCCTAAATTTTTCAATTAATCCTCCCGGTGTTTGGCAGTGGCCCAAAAAGCATCTCAAGAGGAAACAAAGTGAGGTTCAGAGAAGCACTTAGGTCGTTTCTCCCCAAATTATTTCTGTTTTTTTCCCTGCTATTCAAGAATCATCTGCAGCTTCATCCTTTTTCCAAACTGATTATTTCTGCTTCTCAACTGTCAGGTCCTTTTTTTCTATTAGATGTTGACTTGTCTGKTCATGGTTTTCCATTTGTTTGTTTGCTTTTCTGCTGCAAATAGTGACTGGCATAAAGCAACTCCTCTGCATTGAGCAGAACTTATTCATTAAGGAGGATTATGACATGACAGCACAGTGAARCAGCTGTTGGAGTTTTTGTTCTGAGGAAGAAGGCTGCAGGCTCAACTCTTGACCTTTCTGCAGAGTTTGCATGCGTGGGTACTCTGGTTTCATCCTACAGATCAAATACATGGATGTTATGTTGACTGATTAAATTATCACAAGCTGTGARTGTGAATAGGTCTCGATCATCTCTGTGCAGTCCTGCGGTGGACTGGAAACTTGTTCATCACTAGAGATCAGCACCAGCTGTTATATAGTCCCTCAGATGTCTTCTGTTGCAAACTGAAATCATAGAAGTCAGTGGTTCCCGACCTATTTTCCTCAAAACTGGAGGTCCAGGAATCCCTGATCAAGCTGCTGTCCCTCAGACCTGAGTCTCGGATGGATGGATGGATGGATGGATGGATGGATGGATGGATGGATGGATGGATGGATGGATGGATGGATGG